TATTCATTGAAAAATACTAAAAATATAATTTATTTTATTAGAGACGAAGTTTTTATCATTCTATGGATTCACTGAGCTGACGCTGGGTCTAACGTGTGGCAGAGAGGGAAATTTCAAGCAGTTTTCGGGACCCGCGTGTATGTTTAAGAAGCCCCTTGCCGACATACGTCAACACTCATCTTCATCTCTCGTATTTTTCTCCGTCCCCCGACAACTCTGGTAGGAGCCTGCTAGTGCTGCTTTGGAACGCGTATACGTTCTAGTATAGATTACTGCACTTCTAAATAGGCCAAAATCTTTTAGAAAAATGTAGAGAGGTTTCGCTGATATACTTCTCGCTTTCCTTTCCACCGCTTAAAAAATAATCACATATCCATTTTTAGTTAATTCGTTTATTAGTTCGTGAGTAATATTATAATAATACATTATTATTTAAAAACATTAAAATTTCGGTTTCAAATGAATACGATTCGCAACTTGTGACATTACAGGAGTTATACCAAACCGACTTGGTGGAACAAACTTAAATTGTTGTGCCGATTTATGTACCTAATATTTTTTATCCTGCCAGCTTAATGAGTATTCCGTTTTGTTGAGATCTTTTCTTTTATTACATTCGAATTGAAACGACAATAACAACCGCCATTTTATGGTTTTATTGTTAAAGTTTTTTAAGTATTCGTTTATTATTTTACTGTTATTTGGTTATCATTCTATTTAATCCATATCATAGCATTCAATCACATTAAAAACTTGCAATCAATACGATTTGATTTTATGATATTGAATAATTGTATTGTAATGGAAACCATCTATTAATATAATGTCATTATAATAGATATACTGTAGCAATTACAAAACTGTATTTTAATATTTAGGAACACATTACAGCAGGCTGACTTTTAAACGAGACTGAAACGAAATCAAATCGAAAAAGATAATGGTATTCTTGAAAACGTTCTATTGAAACTGTTACAGAATAATGTTATAGATACATATTAAACTATTAGACTATTAACTGTATTTAAACTTTGTCTTACTTTTTGAGGTATATAATAATAATCTTTTTTAACTCCTAACTTGATTTTATTGAAGTTTAAACAAATTTATGTATATTGCGAGGTTTCTTCCCTACCATATACAATAAAATATTTAAATATACAATTTATTCTTTTTGTACCTATATTATAAGGCATACATTGAGATGACTAAAATGTAATAATGAAATGTATATGTATTTTAAAAAGAACCTAGTTCTTGCTTATATTTACAAAAGATATACATAAAATGAACTGGGTTAATACAATCTTAAAATAAAACAGTAAACCAATAAAATAGCGAAACAAAAATTAATTTTAGAAACCGAACTTTTGATTCTGATTTAATTATATCCACGATGCCATCCAATTACAATCGAGTTATATTAAATCAGTGATCTATATTTAAGCTTGAAACTTGATAGATCATCTTTCATTATTTTCCAGAATTATCTTACAAATAATAATAATGTCGAAGTAACTGTCTCTTGTACGGAAGGTTTATTTAATACATTTATATCTATTTTGGAAAGGGTCGTGGCCTGATTACTTACTATCCCGATTTAAAAACCACAAAAGTCATAAGTTCGACACTTGCGACCATAAATATGTTTTAATTTTCAGTTCCTATATACATAGAGTTATACTCTTGAATAAATCTGAAGGCACTATGATGGAGAGTAGTAAATGATGACTATATACATGATAAACACTACTAGAATTACATAATATATACAAAACTAGCTGTGCCCGCGGTTTCACCCGCGTAAAATATATAGCTTAAGTGTTAATCTGATGTATAAGCTAGTTTTATTAAAATACATTGAGTAGTTTTCTGCGTGAATGAGTAATAATCGTCCATCCATCCACGCTAACAAACTTCCACGTTATTGTTCCACGTCCACATTATTTGTATAATGTATCATAATCATAGGTTATATAACATCACGCTACGACCAATAGGAGCAGAGCTGCATTAAGAAATGTTGCATAAACGGGTAACACGTGATATACGAGAGTAGTGTAGGTGTGCCATTAAACACATTCTAAATTTCATATATCGACGTGACTACAAAATCTTATATATAAAATTCTCGTGTCACAGTTTTCGTTCCCATACTCCTCCGAAACGGCTTGACCGATTCTCATGAAATTTTGAGTAGTTGAGCTGAGCTTGAGCGTATTGAGCAGGTCTGAGAATCGGTCAACATCTATTTTTCATCCCCCTAAATGTTAGGGGTAGTCCACCCCTATTTTTTTTTTATTTTAAGGCAAAACAACGTTTGCCGGTACAGCTAGTATATTTATAAGGTAGTGAACTAATATTACTCTCCCATCTCATTGTCTTCATTGAAGTTACAGCCTCCAAACCCTGAATTTATTAAGCCTAAGTGATATTGATTGACGTGCAGCAACATCACTGGCAACCTCGATAGATTTGGCTGGAAGCCAGCATGGGTGTCAATTCTAACCCATTGACTGTTAGGTGACTTAGCTAACTAATGAATATGAAGCCTCATCTGTGGATGTAGAGTAATACTTACAAATATTTTTAAACATTTAAAAATATTTGTAAGTATTACTCTATGCTTATTTCACACTTTAATTACTTTGAAAGTAACTAATGGATGTTTTACAATTTAATATATTTTAGTTTGTTGTTAAATTTAATATATTTGTAACACACGTGATAATTAATAATTAAGCAAATATGACCTAAGGCTGTACCTACATTCTTAGTTCATATTTGCCTAATTATTCTAAATATTCATAAGAAACAAAGCTTTTCTTCACGTCTCTATGTCTATCTAATATATTTTTTTCTAAATATGAATAAGAAATTACAATCATAATTAAATGGAACAAAAATTACGAAATGGTTTAATTTTTTTTTTTTCACAAATGTACCTACTATTGCTTCTACATATCTAGTATACCTTAGCTATAAACATACAGTATATACAAACTGATGGTAGATTTAATATCATAAGTGCCTGTAATAAATCTAAAAATAATTTGATTTGATTTGATTTGATAACGATCAAACTATTGTTATTAATGATATCCAATATTATCGGTCTTAAAATAGACAATTCATTAAAACTTCACTCACAATAATAAAATAACAAAGTAAATGTATATATAGGTTTTGTATGTTCAAACCCATTTATCAAACTAATTCTCTATGAAATAGGTAAGTGGAGTATTTGTATAGGACTAGAACAACAAGAGGCTAGTTTATCAAATTAATTTTCAGAAATTAATCACGCACAGCCTGTCAAAACACAAATCAGATCATCTAAAATCAACACAGACTTTTATAATAAAATATTTCCAATAGTATGTGCAAACAAATGCTTATTCAGTGGAAGAAGAGGACATACTGCGCCGACTCCAAATATAAGGGATGGGATAAAGGCAAGGCAATGAATCATCATTCACAAATCATTATTACAGCTCTGTCGTCATCATCAGATGGTGAATGCATCTGTACTTTCTTTGTATCACAATAACAGTAGCAAATATTAAAATGTTTCTACTTAAACAGATACTAATAATATAATGAAAATTAAAGAATTATTATTTGACGGCGTCAGCTATCTAGCGGTTTAGTAGACAGCTTTACTTCCTATAGTCACGGATTCGATTCCTCGCAGGGTAAAAACATTGTACTTATGAGTACAATTGTTGATTGATGTATATATTATGTATGTATTAATTATTTATATAAGTAGTCTAGTATCCATAACATAAACTCTGCTTAGCTTGGGACTAGATGTCGCTATATCAATTCTCCTAGGTTATTATTAATTATTAATTAATAAGAATGTGCTGTACTAATTTAGTCACTATTGTCACTGTTAATTCTCTTCTTATTTATTTAATTAATTTATATATTTGTAGATTTCTTTTATATATTCCTACCTACTAAAGTACCACCTTCGTTAGTCAAAGGTTGAAAAGATCGCTTTCAAACTCATTGCTCTCACATGTTTCTATTGAAGTTCATTTCATTTACCTCTGCAATATATACATCATGTAAAAAGAAAGTATATTTTATCTATTTTCACTGTTATTGATAGACTAATCAGAAAATTGTATTATTGTACTTATATAACGACACAGAACGCCGGTATATATGTATATACAATATTTATTTTAATATAGTCGACTACCAAATTTTATTACATTGATAATTTGACTTTACAGATCACTAAATTAATTTGGTATTATTGTCATTAAACTTTAAACCCTAAGAGCATTAAGATTGCCTTTTATACCATATTACCATTGTAGTAAATTATCATTACTAGTGGTCGCCCAGTGGTCGAAATTTGATAATAATTAAATTTGACATTCAGTAAGACTAGACTAATAATATTAATCTATTTCAAATTTGAATACAGACTTTAGCAATAAACAAAAGAGTATATATAATGTAAACAATACATAAACATATACATAATATGTGTGTGTGTAAAAAAAATTTATGTTTATTTTACTGATATCTAATTTATTTTTATGCATAAATAAAAAAAAATAGCATTCTACACTTCTTCTCTATATATAATAGTAGCTGCGCCCGCGACTTCGTCCGCGTAAAATGACGATACTTCCATAGAACCTTTCATATTCCCTTTCAACTCCTTGCAACCCTTTTTTCACATTAAAAAGTAGCCTATGTCCTTTGTCAGGGTCTCGACTATGTACCAAATTTCATTTAAATCGGTTCAGTGGTTTAGGCGTGAAAGCGAGACAGACAGACAGACAGACAGTTACTTTCGCATTTGTAATATTAGTAAGGAAGTAAGGATAAGTGTGCGAAATTTCATACTCTTATCCTTACTCGTCCGCATAATTTTTGTGAAAAGCGTATTAATTTCACTTCACTTATTAATATATAGATCTCGTAATGACATGTACATGTGAAGTAATAAAAAGCAAGTAAATAATAAAACTTACCTCTCATAGCGATTGTGGGTAACAGCACGAATCCTTGGAGCAGTGCCCAGAATAATTTCTTATATATCTCCATGTTTCAATTCGCGTTCACGAGCACATTTCCACATTATTGGTTTATATTCCTCTTCTTGTATTTTAAACACATTCAACAATGCTTACACTCTCACTAACTGCATCACATCTGAAACCAAACATATTACACTTTATAATGACTGTATTAGAGACTATTTTTAATTAGAGGGTCTCAGTGGTCAGGCGGCGTGCTAAACCACGCCGCTTCATGTTGATCGCGTGTTCAATTCCTTGCACGATACAAGCATTTGACTTCATGAGAATAATGATGTATTCCCAAATGAATGATGTATTGATCTGGATGTTTACTATGTATATTATTTATTTACAAAAAATTGTATCTATGTATTTATATCAGTTATCTAGTACTCATAACGCTCCACTTACGACTAGATGGCGCTGTGTGAGTCTGGAGTTATTATTATTAACTTACAGAGGTAGATTTTGCATGACACTAAGCACCTGTGCGCTGTATATAAAATAGAAAAATGGCTGATGACCCATCTCATAGTACCGAAGTAATATAACCATCGCCAATACAGTTTACATAGCAAGCTAAGTCATTATTTCACTTTCAAAGGCAGCGTATAGTAGTGAAATTATAAGGTACAGAGAAACCAGTTTTCAGAAATGGTAATGCATATCTATAGGCATCACGTGACGACATGATTTCAGGAAAAACAGTACCTTTTACCAGCGCACCACTCGCCATCGACAGGGAATTCATCCCCACACGCTAGAACCTAATTGGTCTTCGACAATGCAGTTTCAGAGGAGTTTCCTCCCGCGTACACTTAGATTGTGAAATGAACTACCTGTCGATGTTTCCTCATGAGACTACAGCATGGGGTTTTTCAAGAAAGGTATATTAAGGTTTCTTAAGGGTCGGCAACACGCACGTTTAATACCCCTGATGTTTCAGGCGTCCATAGGCTACGGTTATCATTTACCATCAGATGGGCCGTATGCTTGTTTGCCATCATAGTAGTATAAAAGAAAACAGTTAAATGTTAAATTTATGAATAAATCAGGAAATAATTAATATATTCCGCTGTTTAGTGGACAAGAATGTGCCACAGTCGGTCCCAGTCAAGTCAGCTCTGTGATTAATCTCTTTAAACATATCCGAGGCCTTTATGTGTAATATTTGCATTACATTAATAATTATTTTAGTTTAAGTAGGGTTCTGACATTCTAAAATTCCAACATAACATTTGAATTAACAAATAAAGTATTTTATCTATTTATTTGCTTTAGGCATAATACATAAAATATTAAGATTGTCTTTATGGTCACCACATTCATTATGGCTATCTGTCATGGTAGAATAATCATTAACACATCGTCTAAAATTACTAATATCTCTTACATTGATATCTAAAACTACAATGTATCACTAGATGGTACTATGTGTCGGTATATAATTATTTATAATACTTTGACCTACTTTGAAAGAAGGTTAAAATATTGATGATAGTGAATTCTATCGAAAACAAAGCATAATTATTGACCAATTGTCAAGCTCAAGCAAACTTGTCCGGTAATTTATAATAGTAACAATAATATTTTATTCAGCATAGCATAATACTGAGTGAAAATATAGAAAAAATTAAAAGCTAATATCGCGCTTCATAACGGAACGGGCCTCCACTCAGCTGGTGCCGTAGCTGCAGCGCTGATTATCAGTGGAGCCACTCGAAAAAAGATATAGCATTCTTGATATTTTTTACTTTAAATATATAAATTGTAATATTTCGCTACCTAATCTCAATCATATAACCAAAACTCAGTTAAACGAAACTGCTTGTAGCTGAAATAGGTAAGAGTGATTTATTATACAAAGGATATATTGGAATTACCCTTAAATAAATTCAAAACATCTGTTAAATCATATTTACTGAGCAAAATTCACTAATCGATTAGTTGAATGAAGACCGTGCATGGCAATGGTTGTTCATGCACTAGATTTTCATTTAATGTTAGACATAGATACACATTAAATAAGCTGAGTAAAATCTGTATTGTAAATATTATAAAAAAAATTGACGTGGATATAAATGAATAAATTATTTTTAAATTTGAATTTGTATTTGTTGGTTAATCAATTGAAATTTTGTACTATGTTTGTGAGAGCTTTTAATACCAGTTTCTCTCAATTGAATCTGTATACTGAACTGGACGGTAGGGAAATTATATTATAAAAAATGTCGTAAATGAATATATGATCTTTGATTAGATTTGATTTGGTTATAAGGATATAAAGCGATTATACTTATATAATTTTCAAGTACAGAAATGAAGTAATAAAATTAATTAGTGCCGGGATCTAATCTAAATTTGTAATTAATATAAGATTACCTACTATAAAAAGCATTATTGTGCTTAAGAAATACTCAATAATGGTTTATCTCTTCATAATTTTCAAATATCTTTATAAACACACTGACGGCCTCGGTGGTCTAGCGGTTTAGTACAACAATTCTAGTCACGTGTTCGATTCTCGCACAATGTAGACTGTATTTGTGAGTATGATTGTTTTATTGTTCTGCTAATTTTCTATGCATATTTATATCATTACGAACACTTTCGTAAGTTCCTCTTCATAAAATTGTAAATTGACTATCCCATTGTACGGATTACGTTTATGTCACAGATTAGTGTATCCTACAGAACATAAAAGTGAGTAAAGTATGTTTTCATTTAAAACGATATAATAGACTCGTATAAGGTTGATTTTTAAAACAATTAATATTTAATTTAAACAAATGGATAATAAATCTGTTGCATAAATAAAATAATTTTTTTGGTTAGCTACGCAATTGCGTAAAAAAATCACCTGCTTTAAAAGTACTTGCTGTTGTTGAAATGTATTAAGAAATATGACATGAGTATGTATGTGTTGGCAATAGTGGTTTTCTAAGTAATTTCTACTGTGTCTGCTTACTTCTCTATTCTGTGGTAGATACTAGAGAAGTAAGTATTTTGAAAATACATCAATATTAAAACACGTATTATAGTTATTCAGTATTTTTGCTACATGGCACACTGAAAATTGCCTTAGGTTATTAAAAAATGGAAGTATAAATTATAAATAACCCTGTACAATTAACACAGCGCCATGTAGTCCCACGGTAAGCAGAGCTTGTATTATGGGTACTAAACACCTGTTATAATTACTTAGATATTTTTTTGTGTAAATTCATACATAATATACATAGATAACACCCAGATCGATATTTACGATTACAAATGTGTGCACCGTGCGAAGAATCGACCCGCAACCATCGGAAGTAAAGCGGTGTGCTAAATGACTAAACCATCGAGACCGTCAATATTAATTAGACATTAAGATATTCAGAAATGAAAATTGGAAGTATATTATTCATTAATAATATAAGTTAGACAATACTTAAATCATGCAGATGGTGTGACGTTTTATACATAGATACTTGAAGGTAAATCCATCAGTCTGTCACGTTTTCATTGTCATTAAGGAATCCATTTGATAATTGGCTAAGGGGTTGTTGGAAATTCAAAGTTTGAATATATATACTTTGAAAATTTGAAACTCCTCACGAGAGCGTCATGACGTAATGATTCACTACCTCGATTAAGGATCCTTAATCGAGGTAGGAACCATAGAACAGTAGTTCTGTAATGATCAAATCTGGCCGACACCAAAAACGATTATTGGTCAATTTATATTTCTGACTGACTCGTGATGGATACACCCTTAACGAACCAAATGAGACACGACCCAGTTACTTTCAAATCAAAATAAAAATGAAAATGTCTTTATTCATATAGGTCTATTACAGACTTCCATGATATATCAAATGTAACGTCAGTTAGGAGTGCTTTCGAGCTGAGAAGAACTGACATAAAACTCAGCTCTTATTCTTTTCAAATGAGCTTTTACATGTTAACAAAAAAAGATTAATTATAAATTGAAATTGGGGAGAATAGAGTGACCACCAATATATACTATTGCAATTTTGACAAAAGGAAATAGTCTAATCAGTGTCCATAACTTCAAAATGGGAACATGTCATGTGTTTCATTCAAAATGAAATTGATAGTTGACAATGTGTCTGACTGGAAGAAAGATAAAATAATGGAAGCTAGAGACTCCATTGCTAGGAATATACTCAGGAACACCATGCGGTCACTTCGAGAAACCATCATGATTAAACAGAATTCACGAGACTGAACATCTAACTGACCTTACGTCATTCTCCTACTACATGTATTTTTTATTCTAAATTTGTATTTTAATTTATAATTCTTAAATAGTAAATTCTTATTCATACTTCATATATATTGACAATCGTTCCTTGTACAATATATTTTCTGTATTTTCTTTTTACCTATATATAAAATAAAACTACAACAACTTGTACATGTTGATGAAATAACAATAATGAAGGTATATTTTGATTAAATCTCTCCAAAATCAGTAATTGATAAGTCACAATATTAAATCCATCACAATTAGATCTCCTTGATAAATACGTCAGACAATTGAAGCTAATTACTCCATTGACGGTGAAAGTTATACCGAAAATTACTTCCAAGGAAATTGTCGACAAAAATGAGAAGGAGCTGGCCGCTGCATTTAATATAAAAACATAATTAATGATGCCACTTCTTTCACTCTTATTTTTAATTACGACAAAAGAAATTATTTCCAACTGTACCCTTTCATTAGAACACAATGCAAACGAGAATGATATTTCTTCACTTATTACTTTATTCATTATATTTGGGGTTCCGTCTAAGGAATTATTACAGATGAATCCTTTCTTTGAGATATTCTTCTTATTTTTGTACCTGAATAAAAATCGAAATTACAAGTCTCGTCTATGTTGTTTCTTAAAACCAAAATAGGTACGTGGTGTTTGATTCTTCATTTTCTGATTTACTTTTTATGTTTACAGAATGTTTGAAATATGGTTATTTTTTATATTAATTTCTGTTTTTGGAATGTAAATAAGCTGACGGAAAGTAATATGTTTTTTTTCGTAAATATTTAGATAATATATACTGAACTCCTAGACCAATACAAACAATACATAAATAAACGGTACATAATTTATCGAGGACTTTGAT